AGCTCAGGCAGTCCAAGGGCTCCTTTGGCTGCTCCTGGCTCCCAGTCCAGGCATGTCATCCCTCTCTCAGTGGATCTGCCTCTTCCCTGCACAGCTCCAACCCACATTCCTTGGCCGTGGAGCTGCTCGGTTGGTGGACATGGGATGCCTCAGCTGGTTTCATGGGCTCTCTGTGGGGCTTGGTGGGGGCAGAGCTCATGCTGGAGAGGACAAAGGAGCTGTGGCTGCCTGTGGTTTCCAGACTGGTGATGTGCTCTTGGTGCAGGACTGTGGGGGGCAGCGTCACTTTCCCAGGTTTCTCAGGTTTGCTGGGTCTTGTAGCTCTGTACGTGGGGTCGTCTGCCATCTGGACCAGAGGTGAGTTGGTGTGTGGGCTGGAGAAGCCCTTGCTTATCTCTTGTGCTCCAGAGCTTTGTCTGGGAGGCGGGAGGTGTCATGGGCAGCCCAAACTCTCAGTCCTTCGGAGACATTGGCACCATACAGGGCTGTTTGTCCCGGCACTCTGTACCCACCACTGGTCAGCTTTGGTAGGAGCTGGGATGTCACATAGCACATGCAGATGTCCAAACCCGTGCTCTCAAAGGCAGCACTGAGAGAGGAGGGAGATTCCTTGTGTCAGAGCAGCTGTGAGGTCCAGTGCGTGGCAATGGCTCCCGCTGTGTGCAAGCTGACAGATCCTGGTGGCCCTGCTGTGGAGCTGGGTTCGGATCACTGATTCCACACAGCCGCTCTTGGCAGAGCTGGGAAGGACACCTGTCTGTCTGTCACCCCAGAACGTGCCCTCCCATGCCTGGGGGCTGTGTGGGTGCTCGGCTTGGTGGTCAGCTCCTGAGCAGAACGTGGAGGTTGATGTCTTTCAAATTGCACGTCTCCATCCCAGTGCTCCTGGGAGCCACCCCTCGTGTTTTGGCCTCATTACTAGAGGGAACTGTTCATGAGGAAGGACCCAACGACGTCCCAGTCACAGCATGCAGTGCTTCCTTCGGAAAGCCAGCCTGACAGAGACTCCTGGCTCCAGAGCAGCTGCGGGGCATGGATGGCTCTGGGAACAGCAGCCACAGGGGCTCCCAGGACAGCTCCGTTTGTGCCACGTCAGCTGCCGGCCCGTTGGCAGGGAGGGGTGAGTTATATCCTCCCCAGCAGGGATTTTACAGGCAGGCAGCTCTTCCAGGCTCCTTGGCTCTCACCTCCCCTCAGGAACCAGTTGGTTTCCAGGAGTGGAGGAGTTTCCCACCAGCTGGAGGTGGGTTCCCATCCAGCTCCATGTAGTGGGGTCCCAAGTAACCATGGCTTTTGGGGGGGCTTTGAGACATGCTTGGCTGTGGGCACCAGCAGAGCAGTACGCTAAGGTGACTTGCAGTAATCCTGGTTCTTTTTCGGAATAAATGGCAATCAGTTGGCAACAAATGCCTTAAAATTTTGGTGAAGGGGCAGTGGTGACTGATGACTCCTTGGGACACTGTTTGGCAGACGGTCAATATCATCAACCTGTACTGTGCTCCTGGCCTCTGCAGTACCAGAGAAAATAGGGTTTGCTCCATGGCAGGGTGTCCTCACCCCATCCTGGAGCACCTCCATCACCATCTCGTGCCACATGCTGACAGTCCCTGGTGCAGCAGCAGTGTCCTTCTGCCTGTGCTGGAGCAGGGCCTAACACTCCAGAGGTTTCCTGGAGTGCCCTGTCCTGTCCTTGACCATAAACCCAGGGGGATCCCCAAACTGCTTTCAGCTGGTTCCTCTTTAAAATTCAGCATAGCCCATTCCTGGTACCGAAGCCGGGTTCCCCCATGCTGTAAGAGCCTGGAAGCAGCACCAGCATAATGTCACCAGGAAATTTCACCAGACCCTTTGCATTATTTTGCCAAATTCCCAGTTTGTTCTGATCCAGGTGTTTCACCGAAGGGTCTGGGCTGCCACGTGCCACACCTGGGAAGAGGCTGTTCTGGTTTCAGGTCTTCTTCCATCCACTGCCACATGCATCAGTTGGGCTATACTGAAAAGACATCGTGGAGCCTTGGGTCACACCAGTGTGGCCACGTGAGTCTCCTGGGGGGTTGAGGAAACAGTGACTGGGAAGGGACTCGAGGGGCTGTCAGCAGGTGGGGGATTCAGCCCCTAGAGGTGTTGGCTCAGGGACAGGTAGTATTTACATGTAACTGTCTATTCCCCTGTCCCTTGGCTTGCTCAGTTTACAGGGGACATATCCAGCAGCTGCCAAGGTGTTGCTTCCAAAGGGGTGCAATTCCTGAGAGCTCTGGCCTTGCTGGGACCACCCAGGAGCTCCCTGGGACACGCCGCAGTTGAGCGGGGCAAGGTCCATGAGCTGAGCGAGTGGATGGGCTGTGAGGGGGTTCCCCCACAGCTGGGCAACTCCAGGCAGTGAGAATGAGATGCCAGGAGCTTGGAAGGGCTGGAGAGGCTGATGGAAACTGTTCCTTCTTTTAAAATGGAATTTTGGGTGTTCGTGGCAGCCTGCACTGCTCCTCGGAGGAGCATTGGATGGGCACATCCTGGCAGACTGGGGCTCTCAGCATGGCTGGGTGGGGGTGCAGAGGGAAGATCTGGGCTCCCTGGAGCCCTGCAGGACTTTCCCCTTTGAGGAATCAGCTTCTCCCAGGCCCTCTGTTCTCCTCTCTTCACCTTCCTCTCCTCTCTAGGTGTGGCTGTGGACACGGGCTGTATGTCTTGGGGCTTGGGGCTGGCAGGCACTGCCTGAGTGCTGGACAACTCCTTCCCATCCTATCCCATCTCATTCTGTCCCATCCCAGCCCATCGTGTCCCGGGACCCGGCTCATCCCGGTCTAGGGAGAGCAGCATTGTCCCTGCTCCAGCAGCAGCAGGCTCTCTCCCACAAGGAGGCAAGAGGAGATGGATGCAGCAGTCAGGAGCAGAGCGCCAGCTAATTACCCTTCCGAGTGTGTCTTGTAAATTAAGGGCTAATTAGAGGCAAAGTCAGTGTCATGGTTTTACACGTGTTTCTGTGGTGCTGAACAAGGGGAGGGAGGGGGAGCATGCAGCAACCGGGCTGGAGGCAGCAAGACGGGGGCTCTGCAGGGTCCTGGCAGCTCGAGGTGCAGGGTGCTGAAGCCCTGGCAGCTTGGGGTGAGGGTCCTGGCAGCTCAGGGTGCAGGGTCCTGGCAGCTCAGGGTGCAGGGCACCGTGTCCCAGCGAGCCTCGTGTCAGCACTGCTGGCAGGCAGGATCCCCAGCCAAGGCTCGAAGGTGATCCCTGCACAGCAGGGGAAGGGGATTTTTGGTACAGGGAAGAGGGGGGTAGGAGGCACCTGCCATGCTGGTGATGAATGAGTGGTGGCAACAATGATGATGATGTTAGTGGGTGGCAGACGTGCCTGGGGCAAGGCTGTGGCCACATTGCCCCTCTGTTCTCTGGAGGGGAGATTTGGGCTCTTGAGCTGTCCTGTCAGGCACTTCACAGGACTGGCTGTGCCCAGGTACCAGCAGCATCTGAATAGCATCCCTTGGGTTTTCATGGAAACAGCAGGAACAGAAATGTACATTTATGTACAGACTCTGGGGTTCCAGGTGGGATTTTATGGGGCTCTGCTCTACATGAAGGGTGGTCCAGCACAGAGAAAGGTTGCCCAGGGAGGTTGTGCCATCTCCATCATCAGAGATGCTCCAAAGGCTGCTGACTGTGGGGGGGAGTCTTGCTTGTGCTGGGGTTGGACAGGATGGTGCCAGACCTCCCTTCCACCTCAGCCGTGCTGGGGTCCGTGAGAGCCAGGTGGGTCTGGTTTCACACAGATGAACTGCCCTGGCTGTAGCAACTCTTCCTGAGGACCCACTCCTGCAGGTGTCTATTTGTTCTGTGGGAGGTTCCCACTCCCATACCAGTCCCACTGAACCTGGGGCTCAGTCCCTTGTCGTGGCTCATAGCCCAGCTTTGTCATGGCCATGGAGGGGTCGGTGTGCCAGGGCTGGAGCTGTGGTGCACGGTGGATGGAGTCATTCCACAGCCCTGCCCTGGCCATGGCCAGGTGGGCTGCAGTGGGAATCCCAGCTCAGCGTTTGCACCTCTGGGCATGAAAGGAGGAGACTGTAGCTTTGGAGTAGGAAAGGTGCCCCTTTGCTCCACCCTAAGCTCCCAGAGCACGTCCTCTGCAGTGGCTGGAGCCAAATGCCCTGAGGGGAGCACAGGGAGGGGCTGGTGGTGGGCAGGTGCAGTGGGATCCCTCTGGGCAGTGTCCTCCTCCGTGGCAGATTGCCTGCAGACTGAAAAGGATGATGTTCCCTGTCAGAACCACTCTATTTGCTGTTCTTGAAATTTTATGTGTTCTTGTAATCCAGAAACACTTGACCCATTTTGAATCACTGAGTGATCTTGTCCTCTGTGAGAACCTCTGGTCCCAAAAGAGAGGATCAAGCCTCTGGTCCCAAAAGAGAGGATCAAGCCTCTGGTCCTCTCTCAGGGGTTCGAGTTCCTGGGCACAGTCCCAGGGGTTTCCAGCGAGTGGGACGAAGCATTTCCACCTGCTGTTCCCATCTTACAGATGTCTGTTCCCAGGCTTGTCCCTTTGACACCCTCTGTTTGATTGCCCACTCTCTCCCCGTGCCTCCTGCGTGGCTGGATTTCCTGCCAGGGACACACAGAGAGTGAAGCTGAGCGATGGGGGTGGGAATGCTGGTTGTGGAGTGGGGTTTGGGTTTGCTGAGGGGCTGCAGGCAGTAGTGAAAATCGTGAGCAGACCATGAACTCCAGCTGTGGGAAAGCTGTGTGCCAGGATCCCCAGCTGTGCATCCTGGGGTGCTGCACTGAAACCCACCAACTGGGGTCCCTCTGGGACATGGGGTGCTCTGGGCTCTTCTCTCAGCACCCTTAGGGTGATGCACCAGCACCCCTTGGGAGAGGAGAGACAGAGAGAGCCTGTCCTTATGCAGGGCCACCAGAGGAATGTGGCGTCGGGTATGGGACGCTGTGCCTTCTCCCCCCGTGCTTCAGGGCAGCAGTGGGTCTGTGCTCAGTTCGTGTCTCTCTTGCAGGTGCTCCCCACTCGACCAGCAGCACATCCTTGCACTCCGAGCGCTCCATCAGCGGCATTAACCTGGTGGGCTTCAGCTCCAAGCCGGACGGGATGCACCAGCGCTCCTACTCCGTGTCCAGCGCAGACCAGTGGAACGAGGCTGTGGCTATCCCCGGCAGCTGCCCCAACCCCTGTGAGTAGCCCTTCTGGCCCCTCTCCCTTACCTGTGGCAGGTGGGGGCTCATTTCATCGGTAGGGCAGTCCTGAGCTCTGCCCCGTGGCTGCGCGTCTGGAGTTTGCTCACGGGTGTCACGCACAGTCTCTGGGCCTCACTGGGGCTGTCCCCCTTGGCGAGGGTCGGCTGGCAGTATCCCAGCCAGGGGAGAAGCTTTCCTACTGGGCATGCAGAAGGTCCAGCCAAGGGGTGCTGCTCTGCAGCAGGACGGTTCCGACCTCTCTGCTCTGACCTCACTCCGGCTCACCATGCCAGGGGTAACTGCTGCTTTCCCCATCTCTGCTCCTTGCCGGCACCCCCATCTCCCAGGTTTTGGGGCAGCTGAACGAATAGGAGTGATTCCTGTCTCTGGAGCACACACTGAGCACAGCCCGCCCCCTCCCCCCACGCTCACTCGCTCTCTGTGATGTTTCAGGACAGTTGAGTGAATTAAAATAATTCATACATTTCCCAACGTAGCCACTTTGCCGAATTGGAAAATAAATGCTTTTGTGCTGCATTCATCACTCCTTCGTTCCTGGCTCTGCCGCCGCACTAAAAAAGCAGTTAAATGCACATCAAGAGTGGAGGAGCCATTTCCATGCCTGCTCGCCCCTTGTAGTTCTCATTAGCACGGCAGCCGCCCCCCCGCCCGCTCCCAGGGGCTTTCGCAGTTTAAAGGAGCCTCTTTATGATCATTACCGGAGTCCGACTGTGCGGGCGCCATTTGCAGCTGAGGAGGCTCCTCATTTGTAACTGTGAAAAACTATCAATTTCAGCGCGCCTGATGCAGCGGCTCCATCATTGGCCCCATCAGCTCCCTGCTGGAAGCGAATTAATCAGACTGTTACTGCTGATGGGGCAGCGCGGGCGAGGGGAACGGAAGGGCGCAGCGCTGAGCGGGGATGTGCTGGCAGCCCCCTCGGCTCGGACACGGGGGGCAGCGGGGCAGCCCCTGCTGGAGGAAGCACACTGCGAGGTGCACGGGCGCATCTCCTTGTCCCCGTGCTGGGAGAGGGTCCACGAGCTGTGCCCAGCCCACGGGAGCTGTGAGTGCAGGCAGCGAGAGCCTCTGTGCCCCGGCGTGCACAGCAGCAGGTCTGACACCCTCGTGCAGCACCACGGCTGGCACACGAGGCACCTTGGCACAGGTGAATTCTGTGGCACAGCCCCTCTGGAGAGCAGCTCCCTACTCCAGTGCCCTCCTGCCTCAGGAGCTGTTGTGGCAGCTCTTATTCCTCCTCCCAGCGGCCACACTGCAGAGCTGAGGGCTGTGCACTGGCCTGCCGTGGACTGGCCTGGGTGTCACAGGAGAGCCATCGAGTCTCTGCTCCCCATCCCTCTGCATCCTATCCCTCTGCCTCCCCAGCCCCCACTGCTCCGTTACTCCCCTCCTATCCATGGAGGAGCTGTCCGTGCTAGCAGCACCCAGACCAATCTGCCTCTTCCATTCACAGTAACTGGAGACTGACAAACGGGAGCTGAGCTGCAGGGTCTGTTGTGGCAGGACAAGGAATAACATTTTTAAACCAAAAGCAGGTGGATTTATCTCTGGAAATGTTCGAGGCCAGGTGGGACGGGAGTTGGAACAACCTTGTCTAGTGGAAGGTGTTGCTGCCCATGTCAGGGGTCGGGGATTGAATGATCTTTGGTCCCTTCCAACCCAAGCCATTCTATGATTCTCTGCTGCTGCTCCTCCCCGTGACATGTGGGGTAAGATGTCAGCTCAGTGCTCACAGTGTGTCCTGGGCGCTGGTGGCTGTCCACTCGTGGGTCCTGTGCCGGACCCCAAGCCCTGTGTTGAGTCCTGCCTGGCCATACCCTGTGTTGGTGCTCCACAGACAGGGAACGGGGCCAGCCATGCCGGAGGGACTGTGGCATATGAGGGACCACTGGCCCAGGGGTCTCCCAGGGCTGTGTCCATGCACTGTGTCACCCACAACCACAGCCAGCAGAAGTGGATTCTCAGGATCACAAGGGGAAGGGGCATTTGGGGGGTGGGCAGTGCTTCCCACGTGGCACAGAGTGCCGAGCTGAGCAGCACGACCACCCCTCCACCGAGGGACTGAGCACCACGAGGGGGTCCCTGCACCACACCTGAACCCCAGCTCTGCCAGGGTTCAAGCTCTCTGCTGTATTTCCATCTCTGCATGGCCAGGCAGGTGAACAATGTTCCTCTGCTCAGAGCAGATTTTGGGCACATGCCGAGGGTGTAGGCTGCCCTCTCAGCACCTGAGGACAGGCTGTCTGGTCCAGTTGTGCCCTGGAGTGCACACAGAAGAGGCATGGGACAGGGACATAAAGTCATGTAAACGTGCTCCAGCACATTCTGTGTCTGCCCCTTATGGAGGAGCTCTGTGACCCACCTGTGGGGTCCCAGAGCCACCCGTAAGACTGGCTGGTTTGGAGATGGAGCCCAGGAGGTCCCTGGTGCGCCTGTGGAGGGTTCCATGGTGAGACGGGGACCTGGAAGTCCTTGGGTGGATCAGAGGGGCTCACTTGCCCTGCTGGGGAAGGAGGGGGAGTGAGCAACACCTGATCTTGCTGAGGGAACATATTCCACATGCCTCCCCCCACCCCATTGCCATCCCAGCCCCATCCCCCCAGGGCCCTGGAAGCCCCCATCTCTGGTGCTGGGCAGTAAGAGCAGGGACAAGGGCAGTGATCCCTTGGGGACCGGGAGGTGCCAGGCTCACGGCAGGTTGCAGGAGCATTTCTGGGAGTGCAGAAGTGCACGACCCTACTCACTGAGCCTGGAGGGGGGCAGAGCGCTGGCAGCGCAGGGTTTGGCCTGGGGGGCATCCTGGTGAGCAGGTGGGCAGCAGAGGGAGGCTAGAGGCACCATGTGTAGCCACTGATGAGAAAGTTCAGGTCCCCCGCGACATGCGGCTGGGAGCTGAAGGTGCCTCACACCTGCTCTAAGCACAGTCCTGTAACAGGATCAGTAATTTATATTTATAAAACTGGAGTCTGATTCTATTAGATTTATCTCTCCTAATTGTCAAGGGTGAGCTATTTCCCTGTGGATAAATAGTATCAGAAACACCCTACTAGTGTGTGTCAGTGCAGGAGAAGCCAGAGTTGGGATAGATCCAATGCTGCAGCCTCTCCCATCCCTGATCCACGCGAGGGGGACACTGGCTGCACTCTGACCCCTGACTGGGGCAGGTCCTGGGCTGTTTCCCTCTGTGCCTCCCTGTATCCCTCTGTGCTCCTCTCCATCCCACTGCTGGTGTTTGTCGAGACAGACCAAACCCCAGAGAGCCGGTCTGACCAAAGCAGGCTGAACAGGGGAAGCAGAGGCTGGGCTGGGGTGGGAGAAGGGCTTGGCAGGTTCCCGCAGTCCTGCTGCTGGAACTTGTGCCCTTTTGCGACGCTGTGATTCCTTTCTTAATTTCAGGTGCCACAGAACTTGGAAATGGAGGGTCAGGACTTGATGGGAAACACTGGGCTGTGGCAGAGGGGACGGCAAGCTGTCTGGAGCAGAGGAGCTGCCGTCCGTGCCCCGGGGGTGGGTGGACACTGGAGAGGCAGGACTGGATTTAGGAGAGGGTTAACAGTGTAGCGAGGGCTCCTGCGCCTCGTTTCCTTCCCTGGAGTCTGCATTTTTATGCTGATTGGAAGCCTGCGCTGTGTGTGCTGCTGAAATTGAATGTCAGGCTTTTGATTTTGTTGCTGGTCTCTAATGAAATTTGACATTTAATGGTGAGTGCAGCGGCAGCGTGTGTGTGTGTGATCGGAGCTTGATTAGCGCACTCTAATTGACAGTAATTAGGCAGCTCCCTGATTGTTTCTAATTCTGCTATTAATTGTAAGGAACAGTATGATTGAGGATAAATTTGGTGCGTTGCTGCTGGGGATGCAGCTTCTTCAGCTCCGTATCGGAAGCCTATTGAGCCCATCATGCTCAGGTTCCTGAGTGTGGCAACCCCAGTCACCTCGTCTGGCAGAACAGTGCGGGGGGAGGCGAGTGCTTCTGCAGAGGCTCTGCAGATTCTGGGGCCTGGATCTGCCCTGGGGGGGCCGAGAGCACCTCCTGGGCCCATCCCTTTCCTTGTGCAGCGCTGTGGGGACGCTGCTGCTGAGTGCTCCCCCAGGGACACGTGCTGCGGGATGGCACATCAGGCTGCCTCAGTAATGCCACTGTGCGTGTCCTGGCTGCGTGGATGCCAGCGCTGCGCCTGTGCGATCATCCCGCATGGATCCTGGTGTGGAGCAGGTCCAGCCTGACTCTGCCCAGTTTTCTGCCAGCCCTGAGCTGGAGTGCCTGCCAGAGCGGCCCCGTGCCATGGGGCTGAGTGGGTATGTCCCGGTCTCACGTGGCCTTATGGCCAACCGAGTATCAGGGATGACTCCAGGACACCTGGGTATCTCTGGAAAGAGCAGACTGTCACCATCCCACTGTACACGACTTGCCTTATCTTTGTCCCCAGCTAATGGTACCGCCGACTCGCTCAGCTCCAGCCCAAACATTTCCAGTACCGCCAGCCCGAAGCTGGAGCCGCCTCCGTCACCACATGCCAACAGGAAGAAGCATCGCAGGAAAAAGAGCACAGGGACGACTCGGCCTGATGGCCCCAGCACAGCAGCAGAAGGTAGGAAGGGTCTGGCGGCAGTGCCATCTCGGAGCATCCAGGGGTCCTGTGAGGTTCAGGGAGGATCTGGGGCTCAGAATGCTCCTCATTCAGGGCTTGATGGGGATCTGGGGTTCAGAGTGCTCCTCATCCAAGTCTTGATAGGGACCTGGGGCTCGGAGCACTCCTTGTCCAAGTAGCTTGTGCTGAGGAAGGAGGGAGAAACCAGCCTCTCTGATCTGCCCTTCCCTCCACTTCTCATGCGCAGTGCAGGCAGGACCAGCATCGTGCCCGTGCCTGCACAGACCCTCAGTGGTAATAATTGCTAACTGTGGTTACAGACCTGAGAGCACACCACGTGGCTAATGTGTGCAGACACTTTCCACCACAAGAACCTAGTTCTGTTTTGGAAACTGGCCAAACTTTAATAATTTAAAAGACCTGCACTGGGCACCTGCCTCAAGCCAAAGGTCTTCTGGAAAAGCTTGTCTAGCTCAGGTGACCAGCTGAAGGCACGTGCACTGCTTAGCCGATACCCAAAGTACTGATGGTTTTTGTGGTGAGAAATTCTGGTGTCTGTGGTTGAGAAATTCTGGTGTCTGTGGTTGCTGAAGAGGGACCCTAAGCTTGACAGGAGGCTGCAAGGCATGGGGAAGCATTCCTCTAGGAAAAACCACCCAGATTGGCCCAGGTAGAGATGAGCCTGGCAGCCACTTTCTCCAAAGCCTGCATCTGTGATTAGCCTCTGGCAAAAGCGATTCTCAGGCTGAGATTTTACTTCATCCTTGGTCGTCCTGTCCCACAGCACTCAATAAGCTTTTGCAGTGAACTAAAGTAAAGATGTAATTCAGAGGGGAGGAGGGTTCATTCAGTACAAGTGGCTGTTGCAAAACAAACCTGTACCTGAAGCTGCTGCAGCTGTCCTGGCACCTTGCTCCATCACAGGTCCACCTACAGCCCAGCAGCCCAGGTGTCCCATGGCAGAACCACTGTCCTCAAATGCCCTCTCTTGGAAACATTGCAGAGATGACGTGCAGAGTTGGGTAGCTGTGGTGTGCTTTCTTTGCCGTTGTAGTTGTCTGCATCTAAAATGCACCAAGTCTAGGACAGGCTTCCCTTCAGCAGTGGTTGACTGGGGCGCCTTGAGCATTGTTTGAGTCTGTCATCCCCACTGGTCTCATGGTTAGCAAAGCATGATGTATCTGCAGTTTGTTCTGGGTGTATGTTGCCTCCTCAGATCCATTGCTGCCCTTCCTGAATTGGTTTGCAGTTCTCAGCCGAGTGCTCGGCAAAAGAAGAGACTCATTCTTTGTATGAAGAGTGAGATAGTGAAGGGTAGAATGGCTCTGCACCCACATGTGAAACTTGAGAAAGCAGGTGCTCAAGTACTGTGTCCCATCTTTTAATAATATTCTAAGAAAGAGTTGTAAAGAAGGTCCCAAAGCTGACCTGGGTGTGATATCTGGGGTTATGATGTGGACAAGAAGGCACTCAACTGGCCACCATGAAGACTGAGAAGTGCAGGACTGCTGTGTCAGTGTTTGCAGAGGAGGAGTCTGGTCCTGTGGCTGCTCGGCGCAGCTGATGATGTGTGAGAGGTGCAGATGCCAGGACCTCAGGTTACACAGAATGGAATGTAGTGTTGTAGTGGAAAAGGTCACTGAACTCAAAAACACTTTTACAAAGCAGTAATATGGACTAACCGCTGCTCAAAATCTTAAAATTTGATTAGTTCTTTTTCCACAAGGCATGTGTGATTGGCAGAATTCCCAGCCCCCTGCTCCCAGGTGCATGGACTGGAGAACTGATACTCTCCTCCTTGGGTCCCCAGGCCTGTGGTCTTTGAGCCATCCCAGTTTTTCTGTCGTTTCATAGGAGTATTTTGTCAGATGTACTCACTGTATATGTCCTTCCTGATTTGGCAGCGTCCCTGGAAGGTGGAGCGGGAGAGGTGGAGCATGAGGGCATCACACTGTTTTCTGTTGTTCCCTGCCCTGGTCCTCGGCTGTGGCAGTGAGCTGGGCAAAGGCCTGTGTTATCTGCAGTGATACCCAAGCCTTGTCTCAGGTTGATATGGTTAATTTGGAGCCCTGTGAGGTGTTGGAGTAATGTAACTTTTTCCTACAATGTGCGTGCCTTCACATTTATCTGCATGGAACTTCATTTGCCAGCAAAGTGTCGGTTCCCAAACTTCATCCGTCACTTCCCAGACCTTGCACGCCGTGGATCCTCCTGCTGCCAGAGCCTGTGGCACTGGCACTGGGAGCAGGAGGAATCCCCTGGCTGTGATCTGCAGTGCTGCCAGTGCTGGCACGTGGGCAAATGGGCATCTGAGCTGCTCTGCTGTGGCGGTGGGAAGGACCAGTGCAAGCACCACTCGAGCGGTGAGGAGAGTGCAGCACAGCAGAGAGGGCATCTGTGACCCACAGACACACAAGCAACCTGTCTTCATGTCTCCAGACTTCCCAAGCCCCCGTGTCCTCCTCCAGTGGGTGAATGGGTGAATGCCAGCAGGACCCTGCTCCAAGTCCAGGGAGTGGCCACTTCTGCTGCACTTGGAGCTTCCCATCTTGGTCCTGCTCTAGCCAGTTCCAGCAGTAAAGGGCTGTATGCTCCGTTTTGGGGAGAGGGGGGCATCTCTGTCAGGAGAGGGTCCTTGTGCATCCCTGTACTCAGGATGAATGATGGAGCTGGATCACAGACTCCTATTCACGCAGACAATCCCCTGCCTGCTGTGCACCTGCTGCCAGATCTCTTGCCCATGGTACCTTTGTGGGCAACTTGGTCAGTCTCTGTCCTGCTCCCAGCACACTGCTCTGAGAGCTGACACAGCTCTGCGCTCTGGGACAGCTCATCACCAGGACCAGCAGCCCAGGGCAGAGGCAGAGGAGCGAGTGACTGGGACTGATGCTTGGGCAGTTGCCCCTGGGTCACTCATGCCCTGCACGAGATGGAGAGTGGTGCAAGCACAAGGCAGTGCTGAGCCTCCATGTGAGGTCCCATCCTGATGTCTGAATGGATGGCAGTCCGTTCCAACCACGACCCTGGGGCTGAGCATTGCCCCACGTCATGGACATGGCCACGGGTTTATCTCATGGACTGGTGTCCATAAGTATGCCTGATCCCCCCTTGAATCTTTTTTAGCTGCTCTTGAACAGTTCCAGCAGTTTTTTTCAGAACAGGGCAATCTGAGCTTTTTGCTTTCACACAGTCAGCACAGTGAAAGTGTGAAATTGCTGTGCTGGGAGTGGAGCTGATGGGTCCTGTGGCAGAGTGGCAGTCCCTTGTGGCTGAGCTGCCATCCCTTGTGGTGCTCATCCCCCTGTCCTGGCAGGACTGTGGGAACAGCCCCGTGATGAGCCATGCTCCCCCATCAGCTCAGGCCACTGTGGCTGTACTGCTGTGGGGAGCACTGGGGCCGGATGCCCCAAAACCAGGAGCTGTCTGGGGCTGGGTGCGGTGTCAGGCTCAGCCTCCGTCACAGCGTTCCTCTGGGCAGCACCAGCTGTGGGTTGTGTGGGGGAGCAGGTTTGGGCAGTGCCCAGACTGCCTTCACCTTCCTGTGCCCGCCTCACACCTGTGAGCGAGGCACGAGCGGCTCAGGTTAGCATCCTGGGAAAGTTGGTGAGGTCTGGGGATAAATTGCCATCAGTTTATCTCATTTAGGAGGTAATCAGAGCCAGGGACGTGCGGAGCAATTGAATCTTAGTTGTTCTGAAGTATCATAAATCAAACGAGCTGTTGCTATTTTACATGGGCTCATGTTAAAGAGAGCGCAGTGTCAGGCTGCCAGGGAGCATCCACAAACTATGGCAGGCGTGGGATTGGGCTGCCGGGGATGTCACCAAACCGGGGAGTGCGGCTCAGGCTGTCAGGGAGCACCCACAGGCTGGCAAACGTGTGTCAGGCTGTCAGGGGATGCAGATGCTTGTCACCACGGTGGGGCTGCAGTGTCAGCCCGCAGGGACCATCAGGGAAGTCTGCTCAGATCAGAGCCCAGCAAAGTGTCACGGCCAGAAGTGCTCCATCCTGCCACGGGGCAGCCCAGAGCCTCCCTGCAGCCACAGCTCCTCTGTGCCCGAGACCCTCGGCCCCTGTCCCGAGAGCCAGGAGGGCGCAGGAGCCGCCAGGCACAGCTGAGGGCAGCAGCACCTTTGCGACACTCCCTGCGCCAGCCTCCCCATGGCTGCCAGAGCTCCGGGGATAATGAACTTCTCATGTGCTTAAAGAGTGATGCAGGGTGCATGGCGAGAAGCTGACAGCCCCTTAATGTGCTTCTCAGTGGCGGCCAAACGACGCGGTTTTGTCTTTGTTTTTTAGTTTTAAAACCCACGGGAAATTGATGGCCAGTAAAGAGTTGTGTTGGGGCGATGTGCGTGATTAATGCCAACTGTCAGGGGCTGTCAGAGGCCGATCGCGGTGAGCTGGGAGCGCGAGGCTGAGCTGCGCTCACCATATTGCTGGGGATTCCAGCTGCCATCGCTCAGCTCCCGCCTGCCCCACACAGCTCGTGTCACCCGCACGCTTCCTTCCGCCAAGCCTCTTAATTCAGTTCTAACAAGTCGCTCCTGCTCATTACAGACCCTGGAGCTCCCTGCTCTGTCCCGGCAGGAGGGAGGCAGCCTGTGCCGGGCATCGCCGCACCACAGCCATCTCCATCTCCATCAGCTCCCACCCCCTCGCTCTGTGGACCTTGTGCAGCTCCATGTTGTCCCCCCCCCAACCCCGAGATACCCTCATGTGCACACCCCTGACTCCACTACAAGCCTCCACTCACACCACAAACTCTGTGCTGTCCGTGCCATCCCTCCTGTGCCCACAGCGTGGCCCCCCCACCCCGGTGCATGCACACACTCCCATGGCCCTTCTGCTACCTCCCAGCCCTGCCACGCTGTGCTCACGCTGCACCCTGTATGGCATCTGCCCCCCATGTACACAGAGATGACACTCTTTGACCCTTACATGACCCCCTGCACACCCCTGTATACCTTGGTGTCCCTCAGGAGCACCCGCTCCTCCTG